ATGTTCACTGAGACCATGGTCCCCACAGCCCTCCACCCAGCAATTCAGTCCCTCAGGGAGTTTGGATGTGTCTATGGAGCTTCCATGACCTTTCCTTTACAAGGCTCTTTTTGATCTGGTTCCTATGTTTCTAGAATCATCTTGTGCCATGTCACCTTACAAGAGATAAAAGGAAAGAGAAGCAAGCAGAGAAGGTGGACCTCATACCACCAAGAAAGCAGTGCCAGGAGCAGAACTCTTCCTTTGGACCCGGGGGCCCTGCACGGAGAAACTCCCAGTCCAGGGTAAAATTGATGAGAAGGCCAACAGAGAGAGAAAGCGTTCCCCTGGAGCTGACGCCCTGAATTTGGACTTTTAGCCTACTTTACTGTGAAGAAATAAATTTCTCTTTGTTAAAGCCATCCACTTGTGGTATTTCTGTTACAACAGCAGTAGATGACTAAGACACTGGTCTTGTCCTTTAAACAGTTTTTTCTATTGCATTGTCTTTTTTCATGTTAATTGGTAGGAATTCTTCCTATATTTTGGATGCTATAGCTTTGTCAATTGTATGTATACCAAGTATTTTGTGCCAGCCTATGGCTTATCTTTTTTAATGATATCTTTTGGTGAACAGAAATTTTAAATTTAAATGTAGTGATGTCTTTTCTTGTTCTTTTTTTCTCTTTGTTTGAGAAAATCTTCCCCACTCTGAGATCACAAAGATTTTTTTCCTGTATTATGTTCTAAAAACTTTGAAGTTTTTTTTACATCAAAATTTTTAACTCAGCTAGAATTTATTTTTTGTGCAAAGTGTGATGGCAGATGGAATCCAATTCTATTTTTCCCCCATGTGGATAAGTTTCCCAGTACCACTTGCTGCCTTGGCTGCCATTTCCCACTGATTTGCAACACCCACCCCATGGCCCTCTCTCTCACAGAGCAAGTTTCCATCTTTGTGTGGGTCTGTGTCTGGGATCTCTGTTTTGTTCTGTTTCTCTATCCCTGCACCATTACGTCAATGTCTTAATGATCTTATTGCTTTATAGTGAGTCTTCTTCTGGTAGGTACCTTGTCTGACTTCTTCAAAACGATCTAGGCTCTTCCATGTATTTTTCAGACTTGGTGTATTCTGTTGGATGGGTTCCTATTTTTGTTCTATAACAAATGGCATTATTAATTCTTTTCTAACTCTTCATTGCTTGTCTATAGGCATAAATCTGCCTTTTGTAAACAGCCCTGTGGTGCTGTGGTTAAGCGCTCAGCAGGTTGGTGGTTTGAACCCACCAGCTACTCTGTGGGAGCAATATGTGGCAGTCTGCTTCTGTAAATATAGCCTTGGAAACCCTGTGGGGCAGTTCTATTTTGTCCTATAGGGTCACTATGACTTGGAATTGACTCAACAGCATTTTTTTTTTTTTTTTAACTTTGCAGATTTCTTTGCACCTGCATCTGCAGAGAGTGAAGGCGGGGTGGGGGGAGCCGTGGAGTGGCTAGGTCCCTGTGCTCTTCAGGGTGGCCTGCCCAAGGCTGGAGGAATGGAACTGCTTGTGTCTACTTTTGGCTACAGACAGCAATGTGGTGAGGGACAAAGGGCATGGGGAGAGTGGTAGGGCAGTGAGGGAACCAGAGCTGGAACGGGGTGAGAGCTGGAGAGATTTTTTTGTAAGTGTTGAGACAGTGAAGGTTTTTTTTTTAAATCACGATAAATATATATGCCACAAAATATACGCCATCTCAACAATCTTCACATGTACAGTTCAGTGGCATTAATTATGTTCATCATGTTGTTCAGCCATCACCCTTATCTATTCCCCAATGTTTCCATCACCCTTCACAGAAGCTCAGTGTGAGACAGTGGAGTTTTGGGGAGAGAAAATGGCTTCTGGGAAAAAATTCTGGGAAGATTTCTGTATAGTGATTTGGTTAAACTTCCAGGCTGAGTCCTTTAAGCAAACCTATAGCTACCTCTGTAGTCAGATTTCTGCCTCATTTGAAGGTAGCTATGTGCAAATCCAGTCAGCTTGGTGAGGTGGGGTGGAGGAAGAAGAGTCTCAATATTAATTGGATTAGACCTGGTACAGAGTGATTTGCCCTGGAGGAAGTTGCTCTTGGTAGACGGGGCTGGGCAGACCTTTGTCTGGAAAATGGTGTTGTCGGTCTTCCTTGCCAGACAGAAATGTTATTGTTGTTAGGTGCCATCAAGTTGGTTCTGACTCATACAACCACATACAGCAGAACAAAACACTGCCCGGTCTTGTGCCATCCTTACAATCGTTGCTGTGCTTGAGCCCATCGTTGCAGCCACTGCGTCTATCTATCCTGCTGAGAGAGTCTTCCTCTTTTGCTGACTCTCTACTTTACCAAGAATGATGTCCTTCTCCAGGGACAGGTCTTTCCTGACAACAAGTCCAAAGTACGTGAGACAAAGTCTCACCATCTTCATTTCTAAGGAGCATTCTGGCTATACTTCTTCCAAGACAGATTTGTTTGTTCTTCTGGCAGTCTGTGGTATATTCAATATTCTTCACCAACACCATAATTCAAAGGCATCAATTCTTCTCTGAACAGTAATAGCCCGTAAATATTTGGGGAATGTGAGGCAGTGGATGCAAGGCCAGCACTTAGCAAGCCCTGAGTGAATAATAAACCCCAGTATTTTCCTTAAGAGTCACTGTGGGTGAAATCAGGTGGGTGACCTTGGAGGAGGCTTGCTGTGCCTGGCATGATGGCCCTGGACACCCACAAAGACCTCACTAAGGCCATGCCCACTGTCACCCCCATCAGAGCCTTGGGACGTGGACTCATCTCAAACCCTATATCAGAAGCCTAGGTGGAACCTTTCTGAATCTCTGGCTTGGCAGCATTTTAAAGCTGATCCTGCTCATCTTCTTTCTTTCCTGGCATAATGGGACCCCTCCTTGTTCCCTCCCTCTCCAACCTTTCATCTCTGAGGAGCTAGGATGACGGCATGCTGTCTCTGTTCCTCTACATTCTCAAGACCCCCTGTAGGTCTGGAGAGAGAGTCAGAGGGAGGTAGAGTCTTGGTCAGTGCCCTCCAGGAGCCCTGTCCTGAAAAAGTTGCTGGTTGATGAGAGACACAGCCCTTGCTCCAGAGGAACATCCAAGGGGAGGGAAGAAAGCCCTCGCCCTCAGAGGTGATCAAGTCTGAGGGAGAAAGACCCAGCCTTTGCTGAGAAGGCAGGCTTGAAACAGTGTGCCTAGCAGATTTAGGGTGACGTTCTAGGAGCAGGGCTCTAAGACGGGGTGGTGGTGGTGTAGGGACTGAACATTATGGGTAGCTTCTTCTGGAAGGGCAGGATTTGCAGCCTGTCAGGGGTAGAGGCAGCAGCAAGGATTGGCCAGCTCGGGGAATGGCTTGAACTCAGCCTGGGTGGGAGATGAAATGTGGAGAAGGATGAGGCAGAGACTGGGCCACGCAGTGGCAGATGGTGTCTAGGCTATGTTGGTTAGCAGCCGAGCTCTTAACCACTGCACCACCAGGGCTCCAAGGTGAAGTTAGGCAGTAAGTCACGCAGCTCACCCTGCACTGGTGCCAATATCCATGAGCTAACCCTTCAAAGGAACCCTCCCAAGTAACGCTGTGTTGATGACAGGGCAGGTGTAGCCAAGGCCCTGGGCTAAGGACAGGAATGTGAGGGCAGGGTTCCTAATTCTCAGGGTGAGGAGAAATGCTTAGGGCTTGCAGTGGTTTCTCTGGAGTCCTCCTTCCTATGGCACAGCTGAGAAGGAGGCAAAGTAGCCCCGTGGACCTCTCCCAGCTGTCCCCTCAAGTCTCCTCATTTCACTCCTCTCCAAATCTGGGGTGTCTTTCCCAGAGCTTTTGTCTCAGCTGGCTGCCAACTTATCACCAGCGAGTGTCAGCAGATAATGAAGGAGCATTTGTATTTTAATGCTTAGTTAATTTAAGGAGAGCCTCGTTGATCTCATAGTGTGGCAGGTCCTGTGCTGGCTACTGGGGATGCAGCTGTGAACAAACAAAGGAGAGTCTTCACATGGGGGCCCCATTCTCTGGAGGAGTCCTTACTACAGGGCATATGACCTTGTCTGAGGGCTGAGGGAAGGTCTTCTTGATAGACACCTAAAGCACAAGTTAGCCAGCTAGGTGGAAGGGTGGAAGAGTGTTCTGGCATATGGAATAGCATAGGGGAAGTCTCCTTAGCAGGCGGAGCATGGTCTGTGGCGGAGGAGCTGGAAGGAGGCCAGAGCAGTTGAAGCTCAGTGAGGGGGAAGGAGAAAGGCCCAAGCCTGGAGAGCAGGGTCCAGATCATCCAGGGCAGGAGTTTGTACTTTATTCAAAGAAGAATGGGAAACCTCTATATCTTTTTATGTAGGGGAGTGACTTAGTGTGACCCCCTTGTCCCAATTTACTCAAGATATTCAGGTTTCTGCTCTGAAAGTCCTGTGTGGGGGAAACCCCTCAGTTCCAGGCTAACCAGGATGGGCTTGATTGATTAGATTTATGTTTAAATAGGTCACTCTGACTGAAGAATGGACAATGGGATTGGACAAGGACAAGAGGATGGGGGAGAGCATTTAGGAGGCCATGGAAAGGAAATAGTACAAATGATAATAATAATATCATCTAATAATACTTGAACTTTTACTGTGTGCCAGCTACTCTTCTGAGCACTTTACATTCGTTATGCTGTTGAATCTTCACAACAATGCTATAAGATAGATACTATTTTTATTTTCATCTTTAAAGGTGAGGAAAAAGGCTTAGAGAGGTTAAGTAATTTGTCTAAGCTCACAGGTTTTATAAGTGGTGGAGCTGCAATTTGAACCTGGAAATCCGACTTTAGAGTTTGACACCACACTGAATTGCCATAAAGGGCAAGTTTTGTGGCCATGCCAATGATGGGGAAACTGATTGAAAGTCTGTATAAAAAGCAAGTGGACTCTAATGGTAGGGTTGAACAGCTCATTACTGTAATTGCTGTCAATAAGTTGTACACCTGTAAAAAGTTGAACTTGCAAAATTTGTGTGATAGATATATTTACAACAACGACAAAAAAAACAAAATAAAAAAAAAAGAGTAGCTGCTGAGGCTACTTATGTACAACCAAAAACCTCATGGGATTTGGTTCGTTGGTTTGGAGGTTTACGGTCATAGTTTCATGCAACATCCCAGTTAATTCACCTAATAATGTATTTAGTGCTTCTGTTCTATCTCTTGCTTCACTGTGTAGTGCCTAGGGTCTTAAAAGCTTGTAAGTGGCCATCCAAGTCACAACAATTGGTTTCTATTTGCCTGGAGCAACATAGGAAGAAGGAGTGTCAAGAATAGGATGAGGA